TGTGTCTTCGGCGGGACGGTGCACCGGAGCGGAGAGTCCTTCCAGAGCAGCTGTAAATACCAGTGCACCTGCTTGGACGGGGCGGTGGGCTGCGTGCCCCTGTGCAGCATGGACGTCCGCCTGCCCAGCCCCGACTGCCCCTTCCCCCGGAGGGTCAAGCTGCCCGGGAAGTGTTGCGAGGAGTGGGTGTGCGACGCGCCCAAGGACCACACCGTGGTGGGCCCTGCCCTGGCGGGTGAGTTGAGGCTTTTCTCCAAGTCGGTGTCGCGATTCTCTCCCCGGGAGGGCGTCGCCCCGACTGGGCGTTTTACCTCGTGTTTGTGTTCTCTGCCTTCGCAGCCTACCGACTGGAAGACACGTTTGGCCCAGACCCAACTATGATCCGAGCCAACTGTCTGGTCCAGACCACAGAGTGGAGCGCCTGTTCCAAGACCTGTGGGATGGGCATCTCCACCCGGGTCACCAATGACAACACCTTCTGCAGGCTGGAGAAGCAGAGCCGCCTGTGCATGGTCCGGCCATGCGAAGCCGACCTGGAAGAGAACATTAAGGTATGTGTTCTGCTCCTGGAACTCGTTTTCACCGAATGACAGCGGATGCCACCCCCACGCACCCAAGTTAGGCCTCTCGCCCCTCTTGTTAGGACAGGCTCGTTATCGCCAAAAATATCTAACCATCGAGCTGTTTTGCTGGAATGAGAGATTGTGTACTAGCAACCAACAATTTTCCACTACAGAATCCTCCACAGTGTTAATTCAAGACATTCCGAGAGAGGCCATGTCTATTTTTGGAAAACGGGCAAATGAGACTCAAAACTTCCTCTCCTCAAAATATAAACACAAGTCAGACAACAGCAGACTAGAGCACAGGGTTGAAGAAAGCCACTCCCCTTGTAGAGTCACTGATTTTTTTTCCCCCCCTCTCTTCTCCCTTGTCTTCCTTAGAAGGGCAAAAAGTGCATCCGTACCCCCAAAATCTCCAAGCCTGTCAAGTTTGAGCTTTCTGGCTGCACCAGTGTGAAGACCTACCGGGCCAAGTTCTGTGGCGTGTGCACCGACGGGCGATGCTGCACCCCCCACAGAACCACCACCCTGCCCGTGGAGTTCAAGTGCCCCGACGGCGAGGTCATGAAAAAGAGTATGATGTTCATCAAGACCTGTGCCTGCCATTACAACTGTCCCGGAGACAATGACATCTTTGAGTCACTGTACTACAGGAAGATGTACGGAGACATGGCGTGAAGCCAGAGGGCGAGAGACATTAACTCATTAGACTGGAACTTGAACTGATTCCCATCTCATTTTTATGTAAAGATGATTTCAGTAGCACAGTTATTTAAGTCTGTTTTTCTAACTGGGGGAAAAAGAGTCCCACCCAGTTTAAAGCATTGTGTGCCACATCAAACGAATAGCCTATCAACCCCAGACACTGGTTTGAAGAAAGTTAAGATTTGACAGTGGAACGACATGAGCACACAGCACCAGAATGTATACTAAGGTGTGACTTTCGGAGAAGTGGGAGGGCACCAGCAGAAAGGCTATGGCCATCAGCTGTCCTCTGAAAGCAGCTTTGTGCCTGCTTTGTGTGGCATCGAGAAGAAAAATTTTAGCATGCTCGCTGGCCTGCTTGTAGCTCCAGCGACAGCTAGGATGTGCGTTCTCCAGCCATTATGAGGCCGAGTCAAGTTGTTCTTTAAGTGAGAATAGCAGATTCAGCTCTGACGTTCTGATTCGAATGACTGTTCAGGAATCAGAATCCTGTCTATTAGACTGGACAGCTTGTGGCAAGTTAATTTGCCTGTAACAAGCCAGCTTTTTTTTTATTGATATTGTAAATATTGTGTGTGTGTGTGTGTGTGTGTGTGTGTGTGTATATATATATTTGTACAGTTATCTAAGTTAATTTAAAGTTGTTTGTGCCTTTTTGTTTTTGTTTTTAATGCTTTGATATTTCAATGTTAGCCTCGATTTCTGAACACCATAGGTAGATGTAAAGCTTGTATGATAATTCAAAGCATGAAATGGATACTTTGGAAATTCTGTTCAGTTAAGAGTAACAGTCCATCAAAACAGATTGTTTGCGAAGGTGAGTCAGCAGTGTCCTTGGAAGTCTGATTTCTAGGTAGGAAATGTGATAACCTCACTTTTAAAGAACAAATGGCCTTTATTTTAAAAAATGAGGGGCTCTATACAACAGATCAGGTTTTTCACCTGGAAGCATTTGTCTATGACTATGACTGTTTTTTGGACAGTTTATTTGTTGAGAGTGTGACCAAAAGTTACATGTTTGCACCTTTCTAGTTGAAAATAAAGTATATATTTTTTCTATAAAGGGCTTGGTTATTTATTCTTCTAAACATTTATCTGTTTTCTTGAGTACAAATGGGAAGTTTGTGTTTATCTTAAGATAATTCCCCAACAATTTTCTAAATACCTTTTATCATATATCCTAGTGAATTGGTTAATTCATAGAATTTCAGCATAAACATAACGTCACTGTGAATCGGGTGTCACTGACTTGCAAGCGTGCATACCATGCTGAGTACACAGGCATTCTTATTAGCCTCACAGTGCTTTATAAATACTCTAACTTCAATTCTCATTAGAGTATTCCTCACCTCTTTTGTATCACAGCTGTTCCACTTGACATTTAGTACCTCTCAGGCCATTGATCTACAACCCCTTCACATCACAAACTAGTCTTATGTGCTTTGCACATGGAAAATCTTTCATTTTTAAAATTTTACGCCTTACTGTAGGTCTGTTTCTGAATTTCAATATCTTTAACCTGAAAAGTATGAAGTGAGAGCTATGTTAAAATGGAGCTATTTAGTAAGCCTTATTTTGTATAATTCTGTTTTCAGTTGCCATGGTATCCAGTGACCAATAGTCAATGGCATAAACAGAAAAGGGATGATAGGAAAATCTTCCATTTACTACTCTTAATAGAATTTGTCTTAAAAGTAATTTCTTCATTTACCTAAGTCTTTGGCTTTATTGGACTTAAAAACTAATGGACCAGACCTTACCAAATGGTTTTTTGTTTGTTTGTTTGTTTGTTTGAGTTAGGGTCTCACTCTGTTGCCCAGGCTGGAATGTGAGTGCAGTGGCAGGCTCACAGCCACCCCAGCATCTACCTGCTGGGCTCCAGCATTCCTTCTGCTTCAACCTTCCAAGTAGCTGAAACTACAGGCGCATGCTACCACACCCAGCTAATTTTTTAAAAATTTATTGTAGACATGAGGTCTCGCCAAGTTGCCCAGGCTGGTCTCGAACCCAGGGACTCAGGCAATCCAAACTGTAATCCAAAGTGCTGGGATTACAGGCTGAGCCACCAAGCCTGGCCACCAGGTAGATTTTAAGTAATAAAATGAAATTGTTCAAGCAGCTTGGTATGGAAATAATATTGTACCTATCCAGGTAGATTTTAGTCTACTGAGAAGTGAACCAAAGTGGCAAAAACAAAAGGAACCTGCCAAGAGAAATTAGAAGCCCAATTTTCTTCCAGATGAGACTAACTGTGAGTTCCATGCAGGGAAGAAAAAAATGCAGACAGACTAACCTTTCCCAGGGTAATCAGCAATGTTGTAGTGCCAGTGTCATTCTGAGAGACAAAAATACACCTGAAAATAAAGACTACTTCTACAAACAAGAGCCCACACCACAAACCAAAGGGAAAACTTCCTGTGTTCAGAATGTGAAGAGTATTTCTGGTCAAAACCTTGGGCTTTAGGACACACCTAAATACGTATATAGCAACGCCATCAGCAGCAACACCTCACTTCCCCAAACAAGGGCACATGTACACACACATGCACACAGATAGAAAGTACATTGTTAGTTCACATTTCCTTTCTGTCTCTTGACTCCTAACAGCAAAGATGAAGGGTCATGATGACTGAGCCTGACTTTCTGAAAGGAATCAGAGCAGTCTGGAAAGATAGAAGCATAGATTTCAGATTTTCCAGATACCCAAATAAAAACAGACTGACTAGGTTGCAAAACCAAAACCTCATGAACCACATTTATAAGAAAATTAGTTGAAACGCCTTCTGGTCCCCCAAAATATTAGTGAAGGAAAATCAACTACTGTAAGATTTGTGCCACATCAGCATGTGTGTGAAAAAAGCAGAAAAACACAACAGGGCATCTCGTGATTTTGAGAATAGGAGAACACCAAAACAACCAGTTGTTCTGCATTCACAAGAAATACAGGAGGCCGGTTTGAGAGCAGCTGCTGAAACTGGAAGTGGTTTTGGTCTACCACTCCAAAAAAACTCTCAAACCAGGACTCCGACCCAAGAGAGAACCCTCATACTCCTGGGAGTGGAAGCCAAATTGAGCAGATCACTGAACAATGTCTCAAAAAACACAAATGGCCACCAGGTGTATGAAAAATTGCTCAACATTACTAATCATCAGGGAAATGCAAATCAAACCACGATGAGATATCACTTCACACCTATTTAAATGGTGATTATCAAAAAGACAAAAGATAACAAGTGTTGGTGAGGAGGTGGAGAGAAAGAAATCCATGTACACTCTTGGGAGGATTGCCAATTAACACAGTCATTATGGAAAACAGAATGGACCAGGGGCGGTGGCTTAGCCTGTAATTCCAGCACTTTGGAAGGCTGAGGAGAGAGGATTGAGCCCGGGGATTTGAGACAAGCCTGGGCAACCTGGTGAGACCTTGTCTCTACAACAAATCACAAAAAAGCTAGCTGGGCGTGGTGGTGTGCACCTGTAGAGGGCTGAGGTGGAAAGATCACCTAAACCCAGCAGGTTGAGGCTTCGATGGCTGTGAGCATGCCACTGCACTCTAGCCTGGGTGACAAGAGTGAGACTCCAACTCAAAAAAAAAGAAAAGAAAACAGAATGAAGTTTTCACAAAAATGTTAAAGATAGAATTACCATATGATCCAGCAACTCCATTACTGAGTAGCTATCCAAAGGAAATGAGGTCAGTATGCCGAAAGAATATCTGCTTCTCGTGTTCATTGCAGCACTATTCACAATAGCCAAGTTATGGAATCGACCTAAATGTCCATCAACAGATGAATGGATAAAGAAAATGTGGTGTGTGTGTGTGTGTGTGTGTGTGTGTGTGTGTGTGTGTGTGTATTTGTGCAATGGAATACTATTCAGCCATTATAAAAGAAAGAAATCCTGGCTGGATACGGTGGCTCAAGCATTTAATCCCAGCATTTTGGAATACCGAGGTGAGAGGACTGCCTGACTCCATGGGTTCGAGACCAGCCTGGAGACTTGGCGAGACCCCATCTCTACAATAAATCAAAAAATTAACTGAGCATGGTAGCACACCTGTAGTTCCGGCTGCTTGGGAGGCTGAGGCCGAAGGATCGCCTGAGCCCAGCAGGTCAACATTGGGGTGGCCATGAGCATGCTGCTGCACTACAGTCTGAGCGATGGAGTGAGACTCCAACCCAAAATAAATGAATGAAATCATGTCATTTGCAACAACATGAATGAATCTGAAGGGCATTATGTTAGGTAAAATAATTCAGGTACAAATACCACGTGATCTCACTCATATATGAAATCTAAAAAAGCTGGTCCCATAAAAGTAAAGAGTCGAATGGTGGTTACCAGGGGCTTGAGTGGTTAGGAGGTTGAAAGATATTGGTCAAAGGATACAAAACTTCAGTTACAACAGAGGATTAAGTTCAAGAGATCTATTGTACAATGTGGTGACTTTAGTTACTAATAGACTGTATTCTTAAAAAACACTAAGAGAGTGGATGTAAAATGTTCACATCACAAAACTGATAACTATGTAAGGTAATGCACATGTAAATTAGCTAGATTTAGCTATTCCATGATGTATGTATACTTCAAAACATCACATTGCACACAATAAGTTACAATTTTATCTGTCATTGTAAAAAATAACAAAATAAAATCTGAGCATATCAGAGACAACAGACACTAAAAGATCTAGATTAAAATGAGGAGAACTGCCGGGCTTGGTGGCTCAGCCTGTAATCCCGTGCCTTTGGGAGGCTGAGGTGAGTGGATTGCCTGAGCCCGCGGATTCAAGACCTTCCTGGGCAGCGAGATCTCATCTCTATAAAAAATCAGCCGGGCATGGTAGCACATGCCTGTAATTCCGGCTACTTGGAAGGCTGAGGGGGAAGGATCGCCGGAGTTATTATATAAAAAGTTATTATATAAAAAGAAGAAAAATAACATTTCTACAGAAAATAAAAGCATAGGAGAAATTCATGCCTACAAAACATAGCAAAGTTATAACCTACTATTTTTAAAAAGCATTAAGTAAAATATGTTAGACATAAATGATAATAAGGAAACAACTAATGACAGAAAATAGTAACATTAATCAGAACTAGGATGACTTAGAAATATAGTGACAGAACTCAATAAAGAATTAGAAATAGAAGAATATATATCAAACTAGAAGCAACACAAGAGTGAATAAGCACAACAGATAAGAAAAATATATTAATTTTTTTAAAAAATTTTAATTTTAAAGATGTGGGGTATAATTCAGGGTTAAGTATAATGTTTAAATTTTTTAAAGATATAAAAATGTTTCAAGAAAAAGTGATAAATACTATACATAGGCAAAGAAGATTCAATATACGGATGAGTGGAGTTCTTGAGGAAAGGAAAAAAAACCAAAAACTATAAGTCAAGAAAACGTCACTGAAATAGAAAATGATTTGAAAACATTGAAAGAGAATGCCATGTACCTAATACAGTCAGCCAACACCAAGACATGTTCAAGTAAAACTGCTGGAATTTAAAGAAAAAGGAAAAACTATCTGGACATGAAGGCAAAAAGAACATAAGTCTTATAAATAAAAAGAAAATTAGTTCATCATTAGACTTTTGGACAGTAAAACTTTATGCCAGAAAAAAAATGAATAACATATTTAAGATACTTAAGGAAAGAAAATATGAGCCAAAAAATTTTTTGTCTTTCAAAATTGATGTTCAAGAATGAAGGACACAGACAAACTGTTAAAAACATGCAAGAACTCAAGGCATTTTTTCCTGGGAGCTCTTCCTGAGAAACCTACCAGGGAACAAGCTCAAACAATAAAAATGCCTGAGAGATATTAACATAAGGACTGGTAGTGAGAATCCAACCTAGCTTATCTTCAGAACAAAGACCAAAGGAAGGTTAAAAAGAAGACAGTGTAGTATGCAGTTGCCATGTGCTCTGACAGTGGAGAGAAAAACCTTAAAAAGCAGAGGAGAGAATGAAAATAACACATGCCTTCTTCCCAAAAAATATTTAACTGCTTTTATTGATGGTGGTGGTATTAACACTGTTATTCTGAGACT